TATGTCCTGGCCCCCGCTTATGGGTGCATGGTTCACCTGGGACCTCACTGGGGGGACCTGCCACTGTCACAGTAGCTCATGCTTCTGTCATCAGGCCACCTCGGCCTGGCGTGCCTCCTTTGCCCAGACCTCCTGGAACAACTCTCCCCAGGCCTTGCAAAAATTGTGGAACACACAAACTTCTACAATGCCCCGGGGGAGGTTATTCTCACTTACTTCAAGGTGGGCAGCAGGGAACTGTAGCCAAGCAGGGAGGTGAGCAAGAGGTGCCAGTCCCAGGTGTGAGCTCCTGGATCTGTGCCCTGATGAGAGGAAGCTCAGCCTGGTTGGCACCCCTCGCTCACCTCCTTGCTTGGCTACAGTTCCCCATGTGGACCCTGCCCAGCTCCAGCCCCCTCACATGGCTCCCACCTGGCTGCAACCCCCCATATACTCCTCCCTGTGCATTCCCTACCTGGCTCCATCCCCCTTGCAGCTTACCAGCATCAGTAGCCCTGCTTTTGGCCCTCTGCATGGCAGGAGGGCATCGCGGCTTGGCCCCAGCCACCAGGTATCCACCACCTCTGTCACAGTGCACTGCTGCTGCCCAGCTTGACACAGTGCAAGGCTGTGTGCTTTTGGGCAAATATGGGCTGTTACCCGGGGCTCTGCCCACTTGCAGGGACTGCTGGCCACACCGGCCCGGGCCCTGTGTGCATGAGCCCTGCATGCTGCTTCCAGGATGGTGTGGCTGGCAGTTCCTGTAAGTGGTGCACAGCCCCAGGTGGTGGGCTATGCAAAGGCTGAAGCAGCCACTGGCCAGGGCTCCCTGAGCTGCTAGTGAATATAGCAGCTGGGGAGCTGGGCAGTATGGGGTACTGAGTGCCCAAGGGATCAGGTTGGGGCAGGGGCTGAGGCAAGCCAACCCCACTGGTGAAAATTGTAGGGTTGCAGCCTAGGTTCTGGGGCCCTTAAATCCTGGTCAGCTGCTGCAAAAAGGGACATTTTTTTGTGGGCATGACTGGACCAACAGTTATGGTCACTCATGGCCACACACTGTGCCCACAAGGCTTTGACCTTTATGCGGCACTGCCACGCTGACTGGGACTGCCCTGCTGAACAGGGCCTCATAAATGTGGGCGTTCAAGCGCCTGCCCTACTCAAACTGCCTCTGGGCCTCTGCATCACCCCGGAGTGCCACAAGGTTTCCAATCTGTTCCTGGCTCCAGTTGGGGGCCCAGGTGGATGTCATGGGCATGCACATGTGGGTGAGGCTGGGCCTCTAAGGCAAGGATGCATTTGCAGGTATCAAATTGAGGTGCAATTAGCCATTTTTTACTGTGCAGAACGGGCATGATCAAGTAGACACACACCTGTACTGTGAAGTAAACTAGGCTAATGCACAGTAACGTATTGCATGTATATGCTCCCAGTGCTTATGAGGACCTCACTCCAGATAAGTTTTGGCAATCAGAATTTGGGATGCCCATTCAAATTGAGCCATACTTCCTGCCAATTTCAAAGTTGTTCCTTATGAAATCCAGTCTATGGAAGTAGGATGTTCTAATATAGGGGTGGGCAAATTATGGTCCACAGACCAGATCTGGCTCACCAGGCCATTCTATATGGCCTGCAGGACTCCTCCAAAAGCAATTATTACCCTCTGACAAGTGCCTTCTGAAAGCCAGCGGGAGGTGGGCTTTCAGAGATTGCATGCCATTGGACCAGGTGGGCTCCGTGCCTCCATTTCCATGGGGCTCCTAGCACTCCAGCTGGGAGCTACATGTGGAGGCATCAAGTGCAATGGTGCATGACTGGACAGCTGGTGAGTGGAGAAGGGAGCTCCTGCCTGCACTGCCAGGAGCTGCACAAGGTGCATGGAGTGCACCCAGCTCAATGATGTGCATGTGTGTGGATGGGTGTGGGGAATGGATGTGGGTGGATGTGGGGCTTGTAAGGGGGTGTGAGGGTGGTGGAGGTTGTGGGTAGGTGTGGTGTTTGTGGCAGGGGCACAACTTCCCTCAAACCCCACACCCACCCACACACATCTCCACAAACCCTACA